GTGCGGAAAGGAATGAAATGCTAAGATACTGTGGAGGAAAAGGTGTTCAATGCTAAAATACTGTGGATGGCGTAGCCGGTGTTGGACCGGCCAAGGTTATTTTTTTAAAGCGCGACCGAATTATGGATGCAATTATATACGTATATACATTGCACTGAAACATTTTGGCTTTCTTTATTTTGATATCTTGTCCATACCAAAATGTTGGCTGGGTTGCATTGGTTTCAGTTTGTATGGAAAAATGAGCAAAAACACTGATTTTTGGTCATTTTAAAGGCCTCCCTACAGGTCCATAGGGGATCTAGGGGGTCGAGGTAGGGTTTATTAAAAAGTTCGATCTTTCCTCTTTCCAATAAGTGGGGATAGCCCGACCCTGTTTTTCTCCATAAACGATATTTAACCGGCGCGATACTAAACATTCCCCTAGGATTGCTTCCAAATATATTCATTTCCAAGTTCTGTCACATTAGCAAACAGCTGGTTCGAATATTGGTTTTGCGTATGTTCGAAAAGACGAAAATAAAATCAGATTCTGTGACATCATTTAAAATCATAATTGGTTTGCAATTCTGACAGCTAAGCAATTCTCTCTTGGATTCCACAACACCCTTGATTTGCATTTAAATTTCAAAAAATCAACTATTTAAAATGCGTGTTTCTCCGATTTATACATATTTACTTTTATATCCACTAACACTACCCTAATTCATTTATTTTCTCTTAAATAGTGCCAACAATAATTCCATGTCAAACTTCAGTTAAAATCCATTTATCCATAAAATAAGGAAGTGGTTGTAATCAATAAAAAATTAGTGTTACCGGGTATGCTATTCTAAAATTTACCTCAAATATCTTAAAAGCATAAGTCAACGCCAACTAAATCAAAATTTTCTTAATGTGTGTGTGCATGCACATTTTAGCCTGAATGTAGGGTATGCCATTCTCTTTTTGGTCCTATGAAGTACTTATAGAACTCACCAACATGCCACGTTCCCTGCTAAACACTTGCACATTTTGGATTACAATAATTAAAGCACGAAGAAACTCAAGCCCAAACGAACTACAAGTTTAAGCAATCAGAATATGACAAGACGGCACACCAAACTAAACGTTTGTTAATAAACACAAGCATCCCCTTTGTGATGCCATTTTCGGAATCTTTGATGAATGATGACAAAATCGTACCTCTAGTAACCCGATTATTAAGAGTTGTGATAATTTTATAGTGGGATTCTGTAACCAGTCTCTAGTCTCTATTTGAGCCATTTTGTGGTAAAATCTMAATTTGTGACTAGTTACTATTCACTAAACAGTCTCTAGCTTTAGTCTCAAAATATTGCCTCAAATTTGAGACCTGGTAGTTAGCAAGTCTCAAAACCAAAAAGAACTCTTGTCTGCCATTTTGAATATACTGAATAGAGATCACCATAAATATTAATCGATTGTCGTTTTTTTATATTTTGTAAGCAACTCAAACACGAAAAGGTTAAAAATAAATAAATTTTACATAAATTTCGTTAGTATTATGAAACAAAGCCAACATATATTTTTGTTTTTATTGATAATTATGTTTTTTGACTATGTTATAGAAAATTTAATATTTGTTATCGACATATTTATTTTCATTCAAGTATAAACACATCTCTGAATAATGAAATGTAATGAGTTTGTGACTATCACTTACAGAATAGCAAAATCGTCTCAAGTCTCAAAAATTGTTTCTGTCAAATTTAGAGACTTGATACTGTATCACAGTACAGAATCGCACGGTTAATCGTATCAATTATGTCTTATTGACATACATGCGTGGTTGCCTAAAAAGTTAACTTCATTCATTGCAAACAATTACATTTGCTGCCTACTACAAATTAGTTTCTGACAAATTTTTCAAAAGTAAGTATTTAATATAATTGAATCAGCTGCTTTGAAAGAAAATTTACACCCTCCACTTTCTAGTGACATACAGCAAAAAGTATGTTCATAGTTAAGTGTTTTAACTAAGTATCAACAAACGAACTACCAGATTAACAAGTTCGATCTGAATACCCCTAAATAAAATGTGATTATGGCAAGACTGGGTTTGCGAAGAAGCATGAAATCAACAATTGTTTTTTGAAGGAAATTCAAAACTTACCAATCTTCAAATACTTTCCTTAAATCGCAATGAAAATATTTATATCCCTACACACATAAGTATATATATATTTTTTTCTTGCTCTTCTATTGTGCTTCATTCACAATGCTTAACCTGCTGTCAAAATTACTTGACTTCTGCTTCTTAATTTTTGTAGTCACCGCTTACGCGATGATAGCCGAGTTAACAACCGCGCGCCAGTCGTTTTTTCTTTTCGCTACGTGGCGCCAATTAGATATTCCAAGTGAAGGCACGTCCTTCTCCACTTGGTCCTTCCAACGGATTGGAGGTCTTCCTCTGCTTCCCCCGGCGGATATTTTGGTATGATTTATTATTCATAGAAACAATGTAATATCGGGAGAAATTGTTCAGATCGGTCCACTATAGCATATAGCTGCCATACAAATCGAACGATCAGATTCAAGGGCTTGTATGGAAAACTTTCGCATCTTCTCGAAATTTGATATGGATTACTGCTTAAGGTAATTATATAATCTCCGAAAAAATTGTTCAGATCGAATTACTATAGCATATAGCTTACATACAAACTGTATGATCTAAATCAAGGGCTTGCATAGTTCAAGAAATTTTGCAGATCGGATAACAAAACCTGCCATACAAACGGAAAAATCAGAATTAAGTTCTTATGTGACAAGATATCGCTTTAATCTTCAAAAGAATTGTTAAGGTCGGACTGCTATATAAACTGACCAATCAAAATCAAGGTCATATATGGGCAACTTTGCCTAATATTATCACAAAATTTGACATGAATTACATTTTTCATTAAATAGCGAACCAATTTTCTCCGCAATGTAATATAGTTTGTAGGTGTAACAGAACTAATTAATACTCTACATAATTTTTTCTATATTGTAATCAGAATTAACCACTGTACAAATAATATATTCTAAACAAATTGGTTATTCGTATTCTTAACATAATTTTTTACTTGTTGTCTCAGTTAGTTACATGCCATACCTTACTACTTTTACTGAAAGCATTAGAATAAAAAGCAAAAATGTTTTTTTTTTTTTTAATTTGCCATAAAATCCCTAATTAGACTCATATTTTATTAAATGTTAATAATAATAGAGCACTATTTTTTTAAACAGAATTTTCCTCTTCTAAACCCATAATTAACTGTTAGGTAGGTACTAACGTAAGTAGGAACTAAACATAGTTCGATGGGTAGGTAGAAAATATAACTAAGGTATAAAAAAGACCTCTACAATGATTTTTTTTGGATTTAACGCCTTAATGTATAGATAATTTTTCTGTTTTAAAACCCTAACTGATAGGTAGGAACAAAACAAAGTTGGAAGGTTAGGTAAAGTGTAACTAGGTAAAAAACAGGAAAGACTTTACATCCTAAACAATTTTATAAACAGGGCGTAAACACAACGGATTACTTTAGTTTACGCGAGCAGATTAAACTTTGAACAACACAAGCAACTATCAAATTTATGGAAGAAAATCCTTTTTTTTTTTTTAAATAACCATTATTTTTTGGAATATATTACACAGGCCAACACTTAATTCGCTTCTTCTTCTAAATTCAAATATGTAATCAGTTTGTCTCTATCAGCTCTAGTTTTCATGATATAGCTATTTTATACCCTCCACTTATGAGCTCCAATTATGACTGCCTGTCATGTTTTTAAAAGAAATTTTTTTTTATCAAAATTTCTTATTTACAGCTATAGTAGTTGCCAAAGAAAATCATTTTTTTCGAAAAACAATTTTTGACCTAAAATTTTTTTCATCGAACTTTTTTATTTGCTGTTATATTTATTGCCCAAAATAGCCAAATTTTTTAACTATTTATTTTTTCCATAGGAATATAAAAAATAAAAAGAAGTAAAACTCTTTCACACAGATTTCTTCTTCTTGATTGGCGTAGACACCGCTTACGCGATTATAGCCGAGTTAACAACAGCGCGCCAGTCGTTTCTTCTTTTCGCTACGTGGCGCCAATT